GGCACTTAATAACAGCAACAAATATTTGGTTATTAAATTATTATTTGACAGTCATAGTAATATATATGATATGACATATCCACATTATAATTTACTACAATATGAAGCTGCTGGAATTAACTTATTTTTTTCAGAAGTCCTGGAATATTTTAAACCATACAGAACCACCATCTTTTCATGTCTCTGGTATTTTCCATTTAATGGAATAATCATGGTTCAAGGCATAAAAACAAGAGATGCCTGGAGCTACAGTTTCAGAAATGAAGACATTTGAATCTTGTCCGCTATTTAAATTGACATTAAGTAGCTGACAAGATTCAAATTGAAATAAGCCCAAGTACATACTAAATGTCAAGTAAATACTAGAATATTAAAGAAGCAATATTTCTACCTGACCAAAGATCCAAGTTCCAGAACAGCAAACATCAGTCACAGATATGCTGCGATCAGCTGAAGAGGAAATGATCAATGATCGGCCACTCAGTTCACACATCTCTAAGCAACTTATCCTGTCTTCATGGGGTTGGAAGGATCTGATCAGAGTAGGGGGCTGTGTGACTTTGTTCTTACTGGAATTACAGCAGTATTCCTGCATGAAGAAAATTATAAGATGTGTAAAAGAAATTCAAATAGTAAATGGCTGTAAGGAAATGAGAAAGAAGCACATTTGGGAACAATGTGCTCTGATCCAAATGCAACAGAAATATCCATGAAATCAAAGGTAAAAATGGTATATATATATTTTAATTTCTAACAAATATCACTGACTTGAGAGTAAAAACAAGGTGGGAAGGGGGGGAGGAAAGATGAGAGAAAAAAAGTATACTTCTTAGTTATTTTAAAACCTGGTGCGGCTATTCTGACTCGTAGAGACCCTATTGAACAGAGTAAAACTGTCCCATAGAATTTCCAAAGCCGTAATATACAGAAGCAGAGTATCATATCTTTCTCCTACTAAAGACAGTTCAACTTTTATCCTTTCATTTAGCGGCTAAGCACTAAACCATTGCATTGCCAGGGCTCCTTTAACTGTGCCAGTCATATCTTATAAAGTTTTATATTATTAGAAATTTGAACTGATAATCAGTGACACTAAAATCTCAAATTCACAATAGCAATAATATCAGTTGGAAAGCCATTACTCCATTAAACTTAGGTTTACAGTCTTATTTCAAACATGACATATCTTTTTTTATGTTCAAACAATGCTATAGTAACCTACTGACAACATTGCATTTTGAGATTGTGTGACTGATTTGATTATATATTAACAGAAGACTTTCAATATGGAGGAAAATCTGATTTTCTCTATAAATAATTTAACTCTGATCATTACATGTGAAGGTTTTCCCTAAAATAGTCAAACTGATCATTTTTTCCTTTATTCAGGAAATAGAACCAAACTGTCTGCTTTATAGTATCTGCAACAAAAAGTCAAAATAGTAAAGATTATGTGAGAAAAGTTTCTATTTACCTCGATATTCCAGATTTTCAACCAACCATCAAGATCTCCTGTGACAAGATATCGATTCAACTTATCAGTAGACATAGTAATGGAACCTGCTCCAGTATGAGCCAAAAATTCAGCCAGAAGTTGCTTCTTAGATGTGTCCCAGAATCTGACATAACCTGATCCTCCACATGAAACAAGGTTAGCTCCTTCTACATGTAAGTGAAAAATCTAATTATAAAACTGTAGCAAAATTAGAAACAACATCTTCAGTAACTCATCCTGAGGAAAGCATAAAAGGATTGCAGAGGTGGGCATATTCATAATGAATTCCCAAGACAGTCAGTCACTCTATCCAATTCTTTCAAATATAAAATGGAGATGAACACTGCTGGGTTGTGCTGAGTATTAAATGGAAATATAAACTGTCCCATTGAATTTAATTTCTTTCCCTTTCTTTCATCCATTTTTCAAATATTATTTGGTTTTTAAGGTTAGATAGAATTCATTTGTTTCTGCAAATAAACTTTAATTTCAATGTCTTGATAATATGCCAGTTACATAAAAGCTATCCTCTTGAATAACCCATTGGATGTATACACCAAAGATATGAAATGTCACTTGAATAGATTTGAATACATATATGTAGTTATAGCAAACTGGCTAATGATTTTTATTTCTCTGTATAACAGCATGAATAGAGTTCGATTTGCAAGTTTGCTTTATTTATTTTTTAATCAAGAATTCATTATAAACCATGTAAAACCTTTTTGTTGTTGTTATTCATAGGCCTAACTTTTTCATTCTGAATTTTTATATGCTTTGTAGAGTTTTTTACCTAAATTATTCTTCCGTGGCAATGTTCCTGCTATTATTTGATAAATTTGTAGATAGCTTATAATTTGCTTCACAAATGTAATGCCGATTAACAATTATATCTATTTAAGGTAGATTTAATGGCAAGTAGCCACTTCAGTGGAAACAAGTTTGGGAATACTGATGGCATTAAGAAGAATTAGTGTTGAGAAAATGAGAGCAATTTCAGGATAATGGTTTATAATTGTGAGAATGAGTGAGTTCCAAAAAATAGAAAAAAATTGGGATCTGACATTTCAGAGTCTATCTAAATATCCTACAATGTTACTAAAACTCTATGGTGATATATAAATTTACTGGTTCTTAATTTTGAAATTTTTATGTGAAAATAATGCATGTTTTCCATCTGAAAAAGAGTTATGGGACAGTGACCATAGACGACACAGTTTATATATATTAATTTCTTTTTTGAAACATAACACATATGGCTAGATTAAAATTCTTCTTTGAAAAAGACTTGTCAAATAAAATTATTTTAGATAAAAGATTTTTTTAAAAAAAGCATTATTCTCAAAAGCAGATTTTTTATTTTTGATAAGATACAGCCTGAATCTCTAAAATGCTAAGAGTCACTGAAAACAGGGGAAATTAAACAACTTAATTTATCTATACCATATCAAATAACTATAGTAAACCAAACAGCAGCACCCGTACTAGCATATGCCTCAGCAGGTACTTTTTCTAGAAAAAGTACCCTGACTTTTTCTAGAAAACATACATACACACACAAACACAAACAAACTATCAATACAGAAAGCAGGTAATCCTTGACCAGGGATCAACAGTTATCTCAAATAATGCTATTGTCCCATCCCTAAATTTCCCAGTATTTTCTCTCAGCCCATTTGATTCAGGTGTACCATCAATCTTAGACTCTACTCTTCTGCCTTGTCTATCAAAAGTACATTTCTTGCTGAACCCCCTACCCCACTGAAACCTCTTTAGGCTATAACACCAGTTTCAATTTGTGTCCATGTAAATAATTTACGAGATTTGTGGCACAGCTAAGCACTCAGCATTAAATGAAAGGTAGGCAGTTAACTAACTGGTCTATGGGAGAAAGATGCGGCAATCTTCCACGAACACCTTCATCCTTAGAGAATCTACAAGGGGCGGTTCCTCTTTGTCTTACAGGGTCAGTATGGGTCAGATTCAACTTCATAGCAATGGTTTTGGTGTTTTGGGTTGTTTTGTTGGTTTTGTTTAACCCTCACATATGTAGCACTGCACAAAGTGGTAGTAGAATTTAGTCTGAGTCTATATCCTGAACCACTTCCTCAAACCCAACCTCTGACTGGCCTCCCATGACCTAGTGCTAACTGTTAGACAGATGTGTCAATCTCTATTAAGACTTAGATAAGAATATATTGAACTTTCCTTGTTACTTTCATTTCTAATACTTTACAATATATCAGAGCACTCTACTATCAAAATATAAATATATTTTTTACCTGCCACAGCAATGTTTTTTCTTGATTCAAGGAAACAAAGCCTCATTACAGCATTATTACCCTCAGTGTCAATCTCAGAGGAGGAGGTTCTCAGAGTGGTCTGGTCTTTGAGGGGAATGGTGGGGCTGCTCCTACCTGCACTGAGAAGCTTATGAGACTCTATATCTGTGAGGGAGAGAAAACCAGGTGTCATAATAAAGAGAAATGTTGGCTTTTCAGTCTATTGCCTACTAAAAACAGCTATGTTATCTCCATCATTGTCTTGGATAACTCCATCAACTTTCATAATATATTTCCAATCAACAACACCCATCAAGCCTCTGTGGCATTTTATTCACTTCTTCAACTCCAGCCTAAAGGATGGTTTGGTTTCATTTTCATTTTGCATATTTCATTCATATGTTTTCCCTTGACATGAATTAATATGAACTTCATTTTGTAGTCATTGCTAATATCTTAGAAATCCTTATATGCCCAAGACCACTGTAATTCTAATATCATGGAATTTTAAGTGAATTAACCATTAATATTTATCCTATAATATCTTAATCAACATAAATAAGAAGTAATCACTATTTAAATATGTTTAAATTATCATTTTTTAAGCAATACTATGAGAAAAGGTTAAAAAATGCTCTACCCTCAGGCTATAGTATTTATTTTAATCAGCTTTTATAAAATACAAATACATTTTTTGGCATAATCTTCTTGCTTTTCAATACATTTTGTCCATCTGTCAATGAGCTTTTGTTTTCCCTATTAAAAAATGTTTTAGGCTGAACTGCACCACAAATGTACCCCTCTCTTCACTTTTTCATCAGAGGTGAACTTTTGTCCTAGAAGGGTTGCTTTCAGGGGAGCAAATAGGTTAAAGTCCAATGGAGCAAGATCAGGACTCTAGGGAGGATGTTTTATCACCTCGAAACAGAGTTTTACAGAGCGTCAACAGTATAGGCAGAGGTGGGCAGACGTGCATTGTCATGCAAGATCATGGTGCCATTAGATAGCTGTCCTCTGTGTTAAATCTGAAGTCTAGCCTTCAGTTATTCAATGAGCATATTACTGTAACAAAAACTTGATTGTTGAACCTTTTTCCTGTTAATTTTCCAATACTAGCCCTTGATAATCCCAGAAAACTGTAAGCACCAATTTTCCAGCTGATCATTGACTTTTGAACTTTTTTCTTGGTCAGCGATTGAGGATGTTTCCATTCCATACTCTGCCATTTACTTTCAGACTCATAGTGATGAATCCATGTCTCATCACCAGTAATGATTTTTTTAAAGGAAGCTTTTACGTTCCTTCAAGTATCAATCCAAATTTTGTTTGCAGATGCCCAAATGCTTCTATTTATGCTCTTCCATGAGTTGTTGAGGTACCCATCTGGCACAAAATTTTAGAAACCCATGTCTGTTGTGGATAATCATAGAAAGAATCATGGCTGATTTTAAAATGGTTTGCAAAAAATCCACTATCACTCATTTATTCGACAGAATCATTTCACGTGCACGCTCAATGCTGTCATCAACCATGGACATGGACTAGTGTTTTAATATAACTAGAGGGTGGATAACATTTGACTCATCTTCATATTTGTTAGTGAGTTACCATAAGAGGGCATTATTAACTGTACTTCAATTACCAGCGTCTTCTTGAAAACCCTATAGTGGGTCACTATGGGTTGGAACCAAATCAATGGCACTTAACAACAACAACAACAATTATCTAATGATATCATCTCCAAGCCACACTAATAAATATTGGGAAAAGTCATCTTACAGCCTATGAATGGCACTTACATAGTTATAAAAAATATTTATAACAAAGTATTTTCAAAATTCCTAAGCAAGAAATCTGTAGCAATGTTTTGAATATAGTGGACTAGGCAGACAATCTACATGGACACTCTACAACAAAGATAAGAGAGCAAATGAAACAGCCACAGATAAAAATTCTGGAACCCTGAACTTCAGAGGAAAACTGAAATAAATGAATTGATTGCTTGCTTGGAGAAGTTGACCAGGGACAGAGAGAGAGGGAAATGGACTAGACCATCTTGTGAGCAGCTTTGGTAACAGAAGCAGGCCTGACAGAGCAGATTAACACAGGCAGCAGTAAGGTGTGATTCCTTCTTCTTTTACATGCTTACCTGGTGACCAAAGGTGTGACTGACAAGCTCCCACCCTCATCTACCCCCAGCATAGCTCCTACTCTCCAGGAGTTTGGATCCATGTAGTCAGTAGCCATGCCAGTGTGAGGCAGGGGCCAGCTAGGCTACTTTGGTGTCCTGTTTTGATGCCAGGAATCAGGCAGACTCAGTTCCAGAACTAAAAATCCATAGAGCCACCAGATTAGCACTGAACCAATCACCTTGTACCCCTTTGCTCTGTGGTCCTAATAGACACTGAAAGCAGTTCCATCAAGGGCATCCACAAACTTCTTCTGGATTGAGTGCCCTGAACATGGATTACACTGAGGCCCATAGGAACTCCATCTAGGGCCAGGAACTCCACTGTCATGCCCCTCCCACACTCACCTTGTACTCATTGGCTTGCATGATCTCACCCCACCCCCAGAGTTTTCTTTCTGAGTCCAACAGCTACACTTGTTATTTTGTTTTTATTTGGGGATTTCTTTTTCTGTTGTCTCATTGTTTTTGTTTGTGTTTCCATTTGTTGTTTCTTTGTTTTGTTCATTTGCTTTGTTTTTGTTCCCATTTCTCGTTTCATTGTTTTTGGTTGTTTATTCTTTCTTGTCCTTCTCTTTTTTTTTCATTATATTGAATTTTATTCCTTCTATCTCCACTATTGGAGTCTTAGTGTGGCATTGTGGGTTAATGTGCAGGACTGTAGAGTTGTTTGAACCACACAGCTGGCTGTTTAAGCTTGCTAGTCACTCCTAAGAAACCGTGTACATGTTGCTGTGGGTCAGAACACACTCAACAGCACTTAACAACAACAACAACATCTCCACAATTGTTTTTCCTTCTTTTCTTCTGTTTCTCATTTCTCCTCTTTTTTTCTTCTTTGTTTGCCTTTGCATCTTTCTTTACTACTCTCAACTTTCTCATTTCATCTTCCCTCTCCCTGGCTTTTCTTATTGTTATTCTTTCTTTCTTTCATATCCTCTCTTACTTTTCTCTTATATAACTCCATTTTCCTGTCCCCCTTTTCCCTTTTTTACTTATTAAGTGTCATTCTTTTAATTTCCCTCTTTTATTTTCTTATTTTTCTCTTCTATAGCTCCACTTCCCTGGCCCTCTTTTGCCTTTAAAATGAAAATATTATTTTTCTCTGGTTGTTACCTGTTTTTATTTCTATTTTCCCTTTATTATTTTATCTTTTCATTGTTGATTCCTTCTTTGTTCGTTCTGTTTTGTTTTCTTGTGTATGGTGGGAGGAGTTTTCTCTTTCCCACTCAGCAGGAGACAACAGCCGTGCCCATACAATCCATCTACCAACATACCCTAGACAGCTCCACCTACTGGACGAAAGCTAATACAAGCTCTTAAACCACCTGAATAATGATAGACAACAGCCAACACCAGACAAACTCACCCTAAACTGAGGTGCATAAACAGTGAATGACAGTGGTATGCATGCTTCTATTTTCTAACTACACCCACAAGAGACCGTTGGTGAGAACCGAAAAACACATCAATAAACAATCATCAATTAAATATAAATACAATATTTAATTGATGCCTACAATGTTCCAAAGGGGCTCTGGTAGCGTAGTGGTTACAAATCGGGCTGAGGTTACTTCAAGTGCCATGTCTTGAATCAGGCACACCTTGGTCCTCAAACTGACATCTTTGTTCTTCAACACTTAAAAGAGTTCTTGTGCAGCAGATTTGCCTAATGCAATGCATCCTTTGATTTCTTGACTGCTGTTTCCATGAGTGTTGATGGTTGATCCAAGAAAAATGAAGTCTTTGACAACTTCAATCTTTTCTCCATTTATATGAATGTTGTACATTAAGGTGCAACTCCAACCAAAGGCTGTGGTCTTTGATCTTCATCAGTACTATTTTAAGTCATCATCACTTTAAGCAAACAAGGTTGTATCATCTGCATATCACAGGTTGTTAATGTCTTCTTGCAATCCTGATCCTCTGTTTTTCCTCATATAATCCAGCTTCTCAGATTATTTACTAGGCATACAGATTGAATAAGTATGGTGTTCAGTTTGGAGTGAGAAAACAAAAAGG